CACAATATTTGAAAAATATTACATTTCAATCTCTTATATTAGTGTACCATAAATCGATTTAGAAATAATCCCCAGGAAATTTTGGAGGGGTCACAAACGGTCCACTTAAAATCCAATCCCCTTGGAAAGAAAATCCCTTAGTGACCTATTAGTACATAGCTAAAACCTTATTAAGGAATTATTTTGATACAAAACTAGACATACTTGTATTATTTAAATAGGTATACTACTAAGGAAACATATGTAATACTGTTTAGAAAAGTAGTATCTTACTACTAAAAGAATATTTATTGAGGTTTTGAGAAAGAATATTAAGGAAACATATATGACATACATTTGAAAGCATGTATACTACAAAATCTAATTTATATTATAATTTAAAAAAAATCGTACTAGCATCATGGAAATATATATAGTATTACTTTTTAAGAAAACATATTACAACTAAGAAATGTATGTTATTATTTAAGAAAACGAGCTACTATCACAAAAGCATATGTACTATGATATAAATAACTTTCTAGTTCTACACATTTCAAATCCTAGATTATAATCAAGAGTCTAAATAAAGGAAATATAATTCCTAACATTTCTTCCTAATAACAAATAAAAACTCTAACTAAAAGTTTGACTCGAAGGTTACCTCATAGAATACCTTTGAAACTCTAAGAATTTCTCCCAAACTACCTTGAGTTTCCTTAGACCTCCAAGAAAATTTTAAACTTCAATTAGGGTGTAGTCCTTCACTTGAAAGTGTCCACTCCCTTAGTTGATTTTGGTGTGCCAAACTCAAAGTGAAACCCTCTATTTATAGGTGAAGATTTCACTATTTCTACCTACCCCTTCCTTATTTTTTTAAAATATTTTTCACTATTCCTACCTACCCCTTCACTAATATTTTCTTCCTAACTAACCCTTCCTTATTATTTTAATATTTGTTACTATTCCTATCTAACTCTTCCATATTTTTTTAATTTTTTTGTAGGATGACCTTTACTATTCACATTTACCTCTTATTAGTTTAACATTATATTTACTATTCATGGAAGCTTCTATTGTTATTATATTTATTATTATTGTTATTATTTTATTACTATTCATTGATGTCTCTTACTATTTATTAATTTTCTCTTATTTTGTATTTTATCATTTATTTTATTTTTCATGGATGCCTCCTAATTTTTTCACTATCTATAACTTAATTAATCTTATACTATTGAAGACTCTCGACTCTTCTAATTACTATTATTATTGTATGGTATTATCATTTTAACTTTGTACCCATAACTTTTAAAGTCTTCTTTTAAAATCTTTGGGGAAATTTTCTGGATATTACACCCCTCCCTTCTTAAAAGAAGTTTCGTCCTCGAAACTTAACTAGTGGCCTCTTAAAATAGGTAAGTGATCCTTCGACTTGAGATTATAAGAGTATCCGGAGTGTGCATTATTATGTTCTAGCTCTTTTAGTCCTTAACTTTAGTTTGTTATGTGTGCTTTTAGAGTTGATTATAGTATGAAACATGGAAGGAAGTTTATGATCGATAAAGAATTCATCACTTCTAATAAAGAAGAATATATCCTTTAATGGCCATTTATTGGAATTATGACTCGGAAATGTTTGCGCAAACTAGAAGAGATTTTAGAATTGTTCTAATTTCAACTTCACATGAGTTATATTTCTGGAACAAGAAAGAATTGATTAGTTCATACACAGTTAGCACTTACCCTTACTCTTGAACTAATTTGGATAAAAGATGGTGAAGGATAATAATTACACAGAATCTGTGCATGGAAAGGTGAAGTCGATCACATGACTCTTCCTAACACTTGGGTGGTCATGATGCCTGGCTAGAGGCCAATCTTGATCTAGAAATATAAATTTTTAACCCTAAAATTCTCATGGCTAATTGCCTTTAGTCCAAGTGGGAGTTTGTTGGTTTTATGTCCAAAAGCCAATTAATACTAGGATTAGAATTTATATTTATTGCCAACGTGTTTTAAGAATCTAAAGGGTCACACACAATAGGACAATTACTTGGGATAATTAAAGAAATAATTTATGTGATAAATTAATCATAAGGACTTATTAATAAATAAGTCATGGGCTTTATGGTAATTATCAAAACCCATAGACTTATATAAATAAGTCATAGACACAAGTTCTGGAATTAATCTATCGGTTCCATAAACCCTAGTTATAATCCAGAGAACTAGCCGTCATGCCTTGTGTATGTGTCCTAAGAATTGTTCATGTGGATACCGTTAGAGGCTGGACACTTGAACAGCTTTGTGATCAAACTTCACCGTGTGTTGATCGTGATTGCTGGATTCGCTATTAAAGGTACACAATTCCGAACTGTTTATATTATTCATAGATTACAAAGTGATCTTGGTATGAAATCAGTCTGTATTTATTCCACTTCATTAGGATTGATTTACTTACAACTAGCTTAGTTGCTAACAAACACAAATCTGAAATTTATTTTAGAAGAGTTAATAAGGATTTGAAGTAGGAACTTTGTGCAATTATTGGTTTCAGAGAAGGCTCTTTCCTAATGAAATAGTTCGGGGTATCATTAGCTCCTAGGAAATGGAATCAAACTGAATGCCAACCATTAGTTGATAAGATTATAGCCAGACTAAAATATTGGAAAACTAGGCACCTTATACAGGGAGACTATAATTAGTTAACTCAGTGCTTATGTCTATGCATACCTATTGGGCTAGTGCTTTTATCCTCCCGTAGAGTATTACTAATTTAGTCAATAGAACCTGGATAAACTTCCTTTGGGGTGTCAAAGGACATGGTTGATCTATTGCATTAGTGAATTGGAATGAAACATGTAGAGTAAAGTTGAAGGTGGATTGGACATGAGGGATGCAAAAATATGGAATGAAGCAGCCATCTTAAAATAAGTGTAGTGTATAGTGTTGAAAACTGGTATTCTAAGTTAAGTGGATTCACGAAAAATATCTCAAGAAACAAAGTATATGAGAAATTCAACCTCTACAGAATGCAAGTTGGCATTGGACGAGAGTATTGGAAATCAACGAGAAAGTCTGGGCTGCCTTTGATGGTGTGAATCGGAGGGGAGAACCATTGGAGAAATATAGTATATCTTATGATTATCAGTGTTTGATGGGAAAAGGGGAAATCTTTCTTGCTTCCACATGTATTTGGCCTCATTTTTGTCAAAGCACTCTTTTATAGCGTGCCTGGTCTTGAAAAAGAGAGTGTGGGCTAAAGATGGATTATGAGACATAATATTATTGTTGTTGATCCTAGGTGTATAATCTATTAACAACATCTTGAAACTGTAGATCATTTGTTTTTTGAATGTGAATTTGCTGCTGAGTTGTTCGGTCTATTAGGGGTTAGTCGCGCGTAAAAAATCTCTCAACAGGGTAAGGGACATGGAAGAAAGAAGTGTTGATGGTGTGAAGGAAAACTAAAATAAAGAAAAAAAAATCTCCAAGCAGCACTAATGGCTTGTATCTATATTGTTTGAGAAGAGAGAAATCAACGAGTGTTTACAGGTCAGAAGCGTACCACAAAAATAGGTACATACAGAAAAATGTGAAAAAAAAACACAGTGTAAAATGTAAATATTCCCTCCGTCCCACAAAAATAGTCCACTTTGATAAAAAAAAATCTTGTCCCAAAAAATAGTCCAGTTTCAAAAAAGTCAAAATTGAAACATTTGAAATGACTTAATTGCCCCTTCTTATAGACAATTCAATCAGTTAATCGAGTAATCCCCTATTTTCTTCAATGGCTTTTCCAAATCTTACTACCAAATCGAGGCAACAAATCACATGAATGATGATGGAAACGAGTACAAATTTCTCCAATCAGCTGATCACAATCTGAAGCAGAAGATGAAAGAGAGAAGCTTAGCCACTTCAAGTTTTATTGGCATGATATCTTTATTGGTAGAATAATCTTCAGTAAAAATTGTCTCTCTACCGAGATTAGTGGCGAATGATTTTTGGATGATGAGGATGATGGACAATCTCTTAACTTTAGGTCCCGAATCGGGTTCCAAATTGGTCAGAAGTGCTCAGGAAATTTATGCCTCTGCCTCACAAGAAGAGATTGGGTTCCAAATTGCTCGTGGATATGTTCAGCCGCACACTCCAGTGGTTTAATGAGAAAATGACGGTGAGAAGGAGAGGTATTTCCGGTTGTTGCTATTAGAGAATCGACCTGTAGAGAGAGAAAGAGTGGAGCTAACCTATATAACTTTATAATTTGAGGTTAAATAAGTTTTCAATCCGGACTAAATATGGAAGTTTGGAAGATAAATTGAGTTGTACCTTGTTAGGTTTGCCTAAATTAAAAAAGTTGTATATATTGAAACTGAACGGGCAGAGAGAGTATTATTTTGTTTGGTGAGTTTAATATTTAGTTACCTTTTAATCCTACCAACTGATTAAAGTTAGCAGGAATGAGGTTTGAGAATTGCATAATCTAGCTTATGCATGTCGTTGTAATAGTTTAAGTACTTCTCATTAATATATATACCATTTTTTTTAAAAAAACCCCTTTTTACCCAAATAAAATCACATCAAACTGTATAATTCCTAAAACTATTTTTTAAAAAAAAATTAAATTAGTGCTTAACTTTGGAACTATTTAATTTTTCGTAATTGTAAACTCTGTATGATTTAATTAAAAATATTATCTTGAGCACGCACGAAGTGCGTTACATTTCACTAGTTAGAACTATTCTAGAGGATATACATTATTTACCAAACGCTTGTAGTTTCAAAAAAGTTTGTAGAGAAATCCATACTGAAATTATTAGGAGTATATGATTACATTTTCTTTTTCTCCAAAGAAAAAATAAATTCCCTCCAAACCCAAAAGATTTTTGTAGCATAGTGTATACACATTAAAAAAAAACATGGACAACGTAAATAAAATATGATTCTACTGTGAGAGTCTGAGACACAAACGAATTAAAGAAAGGAAAAAAGAAAAGCGTTCTGCAAAGAGGAAAGAAGTTCTCCCACTTTATCCCCGGAATCATTGATTCAGCTCCCAAGGCCAACACACACACACACACACACACACACCAACTTTTTTCCTTCACTCTCCTCAACCTAGGGTTTTCTTTCTTGCCCTTTTTCCATCTTCAGAAGTTAATTAATATTTTGTGAACAGCAAAGATACCTTATAAAGCATCTTTGGAACTGAATTAAAGGTTGTAAAGGCTGTTTGCTCATTTATTTGTTTATTTTGTACTTTTTATTCTCCTGGTGGGGATAAGGATTTCTAAATTTGGAGGCCTGGACTTCATTGGATGAGAAATGATCTGAGAATCTACATTTTTCCAGTTGGGCTCTTGCTTGAGGTACTAATGATTTTGTGCTCCAGTTTCTTTTCTTTTTTTTTTTTTAATTTTAATTTATCTTTTGGGAGGAGGTGTTGATAAGTATGGATCTTTAAGGATTTTAACTGCATTTGAAGTTTCATAGAGCTGATGAGTTTTGGGAGGTTGCATGTTTTGCAAACATTGTGGAGGCGTGATTAGTTGTTTTCTTATTGATTCCTTGATTCTTCGTCTTAAGTAGTCCACTCACCTTCACCTGGTGTTTTGATTATACGGAAATGGGATGTTTGTTTGTTCAAAGTTGCCATCCTTATTGAATATTAAAATTTATAACGAAAAGGAAGTAACTTTTCTCTCTGGGTTGTGTTGTATTTCTTATATTCATTTTGATAAGCAGTATTAATGAGGTAAATTTGGGTTTCAATGATAACTCTTCTTATGTTGAGTTATTGGTCTGCAATTTAACACATTACATTTCCATTACGATTTGGTGTAGGTGCTAGCATGAGGATTACTTGATCTGTTAGTTGTTTTGGTTGCAAGTCTCCATGTTGCCAGAGGGTTAGTAGCGTTATGGATAGCGTGAAGACTGTTACACGTCTTAAGGGTAAGCCCTTCTGGTGAATGCCATTTAACTTTGCTGTTTTACCTTCCAATTTGGTTGTGTATCATTTGGCTCGTTGTTCACTTGTTAAAGTATGCATGTGATATGTTTGAATTTTCATCTTTGAGCATTAGTTTCTATGTTCTACTCTTGTCAGTGCTCGTAATTCTATCTGGTTTGTTTCTAAGTCTTATGTTTCATAGACTTATGAAGTTAGCATTCTGTTACTTATCCTTCATAGACTAAAGGAATACTTGAAATGCTTGGTTGACCTTTCAATGGTCATTGTGCTGTTTAACTGGTAACCAAACGAAGGGAATGCTAGAAGTTATGTTCCGCTAGGGATCCAGTGATTAACTGCTGTTAATGCTTCACCAGAATATCCGAGTAGAATAGCTACTTCATACAAGAATTTGCCTAGAACATTTTCTGTAAAAGTTCATGGTTGGTACTTCCTATAATTTATACCCAGGACATCATGCAAATTGTTTGTTATGCCATTAGGCAATTGCTGGTCTCGCCTTTTTTGCTTCTTAATCTGTTGTTTAGTTGTATTAATGGACACTTTCCATCTAAAGGAGTCATTTCTATGCATAAATGTTAAAAGGCACGTCTTTTGAATTACTGTAGGTCCTTTGTGCCAGCAGTTCCTCCTTTTTGCCATTTGGTGGTCTAGCTTTCAGGAAGTAGTGGCTTTTCAGACACCACCTGAAGTTAGGTACATCTATGCCAAGTCAGAATCTGGTAGCCCACCCACTACAGGACTATTTGAACCCATAGAAATATCACCTGCTGTTTTTCCACATTATCCTATTTCTGGAGATCCACTCCCACCAATGTACCCCTTTTATCCGACTACGTATGATCCAGTCTTGACCGGAAGGTGTCCTGTGAATTTCTCTGTCATCTCAAGTATCTCGGAGAAAACTGCGGCAGATTGTTCCCAACCTTTAGCTGCAATTGTAGGGAATGTTATATGCTGTCCACAATTGAGTAGCTTACTGCATGTATTCCAAGGATTCTACAGCACAAACTCTAGTAATTTAGTTTTGGAAGATGCTGTTGCTGATGATTGTTTTAAAGATATCATCAGTATATTAGCCAGTAGAGGCGCAAACAGCTCACTTCCTGCCATCTGCTCTGCGAACTCAACAAATCTCACTGGTGGCTCTTGCCCTGTAAAGGATGTAGCTACTTTCGAGAAAACAGTGAACACTAGCAAATTATTGGAAGCTTGTACCACAGTAGACCAACTAAAAGAGTGTTGCCGACCAATCTGTCAACCTGCCATTATGGAGGCTGCAGTACAGATCTCAGGGCTACAATCTGTGATGACTGATAACAAAAATGCTGCTGGTGCTCTATCAAGTGTTGACACTGTTAATGACTGCAAAAGTGTTGTCTATTCCTGGCTTTCAAGGAAACTCCCGTTCGATACAGCTAATTCTGTATTCCGGATGCTGTCTGCCTGCAAAGTTAATAAAGGTGATTTCCTGTACTCATTTTCCCTTACATTTGTGATTTTGTGAATTTCTTATCTCCATTGAACTGTCTTGCTTGTTACTCTCCTTTACAAGGTTGTGCTGTTGGGATTCCGTTGTTCACCAAATACCAAATTTTTGTTCCATGTCATGAACTGGAAGCTGATAAATGAGTATTAACATAATATCAAAATATCAAGGAAGATAAAACACTGGATATCTTGGTTATGTTTAGAGTCAGTGCAAGTTGGATATTAGAATCCCTGGCAGGATGCATAATTTCAGAATTGCGACTCCCTAACACCCTTGTGTTATTGATCTGTGAGTCATTAGGTTCAAGTGTTATAAATCTATATTTTCATTGGAAAAAGGTTATATAATAATAATATTGGTGAGTTAGACAAAAGCCCTTGGAGTAAAATGTTGGCATTACATGGAAAAGAAAGAAGATAGAAGCACTTGTCAGATTTATTGCATAACAGTATGATAATTTTTCTTCAATGACATGATATTTCAACAAAGTGTACAAGCAGTTATGTTTCTTGAATTGTATCTCTGATTGTTTTATCTGGAATACAGTTTGTCCTCTTAATTTTACAAAGCCAACAGAAGTGATTGAAGCGTGCCGAAATGTAGCTGCCCCAAGTCCTTCATGTTGCAGTTCTTTAAATACGTACATAGTTGGATTACAAAGGCAAATGTTGATCACAAATCGGCAAGCAATAATATGCTCAACTGTTTTTGGATCCATGCTACAAAAGGCTGGTGTCATGACTAATGTTTATGAGCTTTGTGATGTTGATTTGAAAGATTTCAGTGTTCAAGGTAATTTTGTTTTTAAAATCTAATATCTTATGTTAATGAGAAGTTTATCAGTCCCCTTTTCTGACTTTTTGACCCCTCCTGTCATTTTCTCGATTGGCTGGATCAGCATATGGACAAGAAGGTAACTATATAATACATCCACTGTCTTCTTTCTAAGTTCATGTTTATTTCCTCTTGGTTGTCTAGCACACTCCGCCAATACTAGGAATGTCGTGGGTTGCAATCATGCATAGTATGTGAATTCCCGTCTTTGGGCATTAAAGTACAGTCTTATATACTTATCCTCTGTTGAACTTTAAATTGTCTTGGACCTGTACTCTCGTTTTTCTTTATGAATGGGTAAAAAGCTTAAAGCTTTGGCTTTCTTGGAAAACTTGGATATGGGTAACCAAAATGATGCTAAATTTGATATTATGTGGAGCTGAATTTATTTTTCCTTTTGACTTTTACCATTCTTTCTTGGGTGAGGCATAGGATGTCTTAACAGCTTTCTTAGCGGACTTAGTACCGCCTGTGCATTTCTGCCTTTAAAAGCTTGTCATGTGTAACATTAACCTCGGAATTTTTTGCATGTACACAAGGATAGTCATAGTTGTGAATGAGGGAATTGAAGTTTAGCAGGACTTTCTTAGTTTGTTCCATTCTTCTACCTTTCCTTTTGGATCCTTGTCTTGGACTTCGAACTTCTAACCACTGTGCCATCCTTCCCTATCATTGTTGTTGTCCTTCCCTATACATAGAATCAGTTAGCTCAAAAATTTGTCGGCATATAATTAGTTGGTAGCATTTTCAGAGCAGTATTCAAAGTAAAGACTTAAATTAAGATACAGTTGAGTTTTTGCTTGTTCGATTAAATTCCTAATTTCATCGTTCTTGAGTTGAGATGAGAAATTTCCTGTTTTAGCTTTGCGATTTTACAATGTTAACAGATGATGAGTTGTGATTTAGTTTTTACATCCAATTGTGTTTCTACTTCAGAACTTTAATTTTTATTGTGAGAACAGATTTATGTACTTATTCAATGTTCATTTAGTTGCAGGGTGCTTGCTTCGAAGCTTTCCTGCAGATTTGGTCTATGACAATTCGACAGGTTTCAGCTTTACCTGTGACCTCAGTGATAATATTGTTGCGCCATGGCCTTCATCATCCTCTGTCACATCATTATCTCTTTGTGCACCTGGTAATCATTTTGAAATGTTTTAACTCTTTGAAGTGTTGCAGTAGTTAGATAAAGTCCGATTGTGGCAATCTCTATCAATAAGGTCAGCACTTGACAACCCTTTCCTCAATTTGCAGAGATGTCCTTACCAGCGCTACCTACATCGGAGACCTTGCATAATATGGGTATGTCTTTTTGGTTCCACTCAATATTTAAATGCTTCGATGTTGTATGTGGCCCGGTTGCCATGTCAACAAGCCAGCACCAAAAGCTGGATGGTCTCTGAGATAGTTAAGATCTTGGCTGCATAATGCAAAACTTTATCTTGGGTCAATAGGATACGTTTCACTCTTATCTTGCTCAAGTACATCATGAAAAGTTGAGCATTTTAATCTACTTGTGGCACAATATGAGCGTGTATTGCTTTTTGGTACCACTAAATATTTATTTGAAATGAATCAATGTTGTATGTGGTCTTGTTGCCATTTGATAATACGCCAAAAAGCCAGCATTCAAGCTACATAGTTTTCTAAGGTGTTGAAGAATTTTGCTGTTTAATGCCTTTCTGCAGGATTACCAGGATAGTTTTCCCTCAAATTTTTGCTCCAGTGTAGTATGGGATCTTGTGCATTGTAATCCACTTAGTTATTCTGCAGTACATGATTCTTTCCTGAAGATATACTCTGTTGGCTTTACTTCTCTGTTGTAGTTTATTTTATCTCAAAATTCTCTCTTTCTGTATTTTCCTAAAAATTTTTAGCACATCTTGGAGTACTAAATTGTATTTTACCTAGTCACAGAGAAAATCACATGGAAGATTACTGTATTGAATGTTTTCTGATGTAGTACATAGGTAAATTTCTTGAGTATGTGCTGTATGAAAATGTTATAAGTTACCTTAATTGCTTGAGAGAAGATATGATGGGTGTGGTAGAGAAGATTGTGTGCATTTATCTGTGTACAAAAGAAAAAGGACATCGTTCCCTGGTTGTTAGTTTTAGGACCTGCAGCATCACCTGACCTTTGTGCATTTTCTGTCTGCTATCATCTGGCGGCTGGCAACGTTCTTTATCAACAATTTATGTGCCTGAAAAGTCTTTTGCTTTTGCTGCTGTGTTTGTTTTGATCCACAATATTTTCTTGGAGGATTTTATCTTGGTTCATGTTAATCTCATTTTTTATGTTGAATATGCTGTGATATCAGAGACTGAGGTTTTATGAGATATGAAATGGTCGTCCAGAGTTTTAATTTCATTAGCTTTTCTTCTACGTCATCATTATGCCAGTTTGAAACTGATAAAGAATCATTGTCATGGTGTCCTGCATCAGTTACTACATTGTTTATGCTTTCCGCTTAGTATTTATTGTCATTTTTTCAATTGGAAACTTATACAATGGTATGGTGTCATCCTATCATGCAGGCTGCCGTCATCTATGGTTGGATCATGTCGTAACCATTCTTTTGTTTTTTGTGTTGAGTATTGCATTGTACTAAAAATTTCAATATTCTGGGTAGTATTTAGTGAGGAGGTGGTTTGTTGTAGAGGGTCTCAGTTCAAAGACCAGGTTTGGATGTCATGTATATCTTCTGAACGCTTTCTTTTGGTGATGTATAGTGCTTTTATCTTTTTAGTTTTTGGGTTCCCTTGTCACATCTTCCATTTAGTTTTCTTAGCGCTCCGCCCTTTTGTAGTCTTTCCTCGATCCGGCACTCCTGCTGTTGCAGAGTTGAATTGCACAAATCATCTTTCACATGTTATGCTCATCTATTGTGCGATTTTGGTAGGGTTTTACTGCCACTTCATTTCGTATTACACGTATTACAAAAAGAGAAAAGAAAGAAAAACATGAAAACATGTGAACGTTTGAGGCCTTGTCAGTAAAATTTGAACTACGCTACTATGTTGAATCACATAATCCACCGCTCTATATATCTTTTGAGGCACCAATATTTGCCTTTCTAAGAACAAATGGAAAAAATAGATTGCAAAGTGTTAAACCGAGAAGAAGGAAGTGAATTACATGTTGAAATAAAAAATAAATTGAAGACATCTTAACTCTTTTACTTTGATCAACATGATTTGAGAACGATAGGTTGAGGTGTAAGAAACTGAGACCCTCGAATGATGGGAAAATCATTTTTTGCAAGTAGTTAATGAAATATTTCTCACTAGTAAGTAAGAACTGAAATAAGTACACTATTACATCCAAAAGTGGTATGATAGGATGATGTCTACACCCAACTTAACTTATTTTCTTAAAACGTTGTTGGTGACCAATTTGGTTGGTTTCAAACTTCTTGAAACGATTTTGAATCCACTATTTATTCAAGCTCTTGAAACGAATTTGAATCCACTATCAATGTGAGCGGAAGTAAAATCGAATTTCAAACTTTCCGAATCGACCTCGAATTCACTACCAGTTATTGACCCAAATCAAATCTTAAATTTTATGGCGGGCTACTCGAAAGTCTGCACTATCACCAAATAAATTCAAATTTTTAGGGTGATAAATATAAATTGGTAAAATATAAAACCTTTTGTGCTAATATCAAAAAAAACCCCCGAGGTTTGGTTCATTATCAAAAACGTCCCCACGTTGTTAGAAATATCACGAGCTTCCCCAGGATATATACCTCCAACCATCAATTCAGTCCTCGTGTGGTGTTCAATGAGCACGTGATGAAGAAAAAAACTGCAAAGACGATTGTACCCTTCAATAAAAAAAACCAAAAACCAAAGACCATATAATTATTGAACATGGAAGGAAAATACATTAGAACTTCTATAAATTAATAGTGTGAAGACCAGCAAAATTTATTAATTTAGAGAATTAAATAATCAATAAATTAACAAATTATTAATTTAAAGAATTTGTATGAGAAAAAAAGAACCATCACTAAATTACTTAATTTGCAATTGTCTTTGCATCCGAATCAAGCAAGTATTAAAACTATTATGAACATTAAAAATTTGTATATAGTTCATATCATCTTCAAGGACTAAAAAATAAGTATTAATAGTTCATATTTTACTAAATATTTATGGTAATTATTATTATTTTTAGTTGTTAGGGTATTTGTTTATTTATGATATTGTTGGTACCTATAGATATATAGAAGATTTTTTAAAACATTATTATCTTATCATTTTATCGATTTTTATCACTTTTTGTACTGGTCCCAAGTTGGGATTGGAGAAAATTATTAATTGTTAGAAGTTATTAATTTATAGATTATTAATTTACCGACGTTTTACTGTAGCTTAGAGCATATCTAAAGTCATTTTATAATTATTGTAATGCCGTAGAAGGTTAAAAATTAAGGTGAGAGGTTTTTTTTTTTTTTTTTTTTGAAAAAACGGTACTTGTATATTAATTAGAAGTACCTAAACTCAAAACATTAGAGTGAGAGGAGATGTAGAGTGGAAGAGATGATAAGAAGAGCCCGGAGGAGGAAGAGGAGAGAAGAACTAGCGTGGCTGCAATTAATTTTTTTTTACAGGAAGATTTAATCCGAAAAATATTTTCAGCCGGGATTTGTACGGGGTTTTTTTGGTCATTTCATGCAACTTGCCGGTTGACTTCAAAGTTAGGCCGGTCAAAGAGGGTTTTTGATATTTCCTAATAACTAGGAGGTTGTTTTCCTTTTCTCTTAGCGCGCACTAAAAACACTGAGGCGCCGTTACTCTATCCTCTCTCCGCAAGCTTCGCCGCCGCCGGACAATTTGCAACGCTGAAGCAGTGCTCGGAGTCTCAAACCGCCCTTCCGGCACGGTCTTCAACTCAAGTAAATTCTTAATCTTTTCCTGGCCTGTATTTTCATACCACTCCCCGTCGGTTTCCTTTCCCGGTGAAATTAGCTTGTGGCCACAGGTTTTTATTGGGAACCGTAGGTTGGTAATGGGTTGAATACTTGGTGTTGAAAAGAATTAAGCTTTGGTTTGGAGATGTAAGCATATGGACATTCCTAGAAAATTGGAATTATGGGGGACCCTGGTTCCCGGCTCTATAATATGTATGACTTAAATTGTTTCTCTCTTTTTGATTGCAACAACATTTATAAGGTTGCTCTCTCTGTTGATGATCAATTTTGTAGTTAGCAGAATGAAATGGTTCAAAACACTCGAGAAAATAAAGGCTTTTGATATGGTTAAGTCTGTCGTTGCTCTCTTTTTTGAAATGGTTGGTGTGATTCTTAGTTCTATACAGCGCAAGTTGGTCATTTTTTTTTTTTTTTTGGTTCTGTGTGCTTTATTGGCCTTGTCAGGCAGAATTTTTTGAATGAAGTTAGTGCTGATTGTCCAGAAACAATAAAAATAGAGTAAATAAATTTGGAAGTTATAAACAAGATGAATATCTGAAAGTGCAAACGATATATGGGCGTCAATTGTTTGTTCGGCGTGCTTTGTTAGCCTTGTGAATAGTTTATGAGATATACAAAAGTGATCAATATATCTCTGATTCTGTTTGAATTTTGGAGCAATTTACTGGTGTTTGGAACATTTAATGTTATTTTGAACTTAGACTTGGTTGCCCAGAGAAAGTTTATGGATTCTTTTCAACCACTCTTGCTTGAGAAACCTCACAGAGAAGTTGGCGAAATTTATCTCGTGTCAAACTTCGTACCCATTGTGTTTGCACATCACTGCAAGAAAATGTTTGCTTCCTTGATGGGCAATTGCTAGTCTAATAATATCCCCCCTCGCCCTGGTCTTCATAATGGTTCAATCTTTGTGATCCTAGCTATATATCAGTTTTACTAAGTCCGTTTACTGGCACATTTTGAAATCAAGTCAATGACTCGATGATTTCTAAAAGAAATGGTAGCATCAGAAGGATAAATTTTTACTGCCATAATCCCATCTTCTGTTACTAAAGCTCTTTGGGGTTTGTTGAGAAGATTCCGACAGCTCTATACCATAATGAGATTAAACAACTACAATATAAATACTTTCTCAGATGCATACATACATGGTATGTATAAGCATTAACCACAAAAGGAAATGGGATTTTCTTTCTTAGGAAACAAGGTAATTCGGCTATGCAATCTGATTTGATCAGTTCGTTACTCAGCTGATTGCTTATTTCTTATCAATTTGGACGTATGGATCCTATAAGATTGCATATTTCTGTATTTGAGAATATGTTGGTTGCCATCTGAAATCTAACACTGTTTGATTTTTTCCGCTTCATGGAGTTTGATGCTTTGTTGATTCCTATAATTTTCTTTGCATGTTCTTTGAGCTCTCATTTTTCTTGCTTTGTTCATGACATTGGTTTTCATAATTTCAGGTATAGCTTAGACAGGAACATAACTTTAGTGCAGTTCATTCTCTATGGAGATAGATAAAGATGCAAAATCCTTAGTCCTGATCAAGCAAGGGGCGGAAGCTGTAAGTTTGACAAACGAGATTCGGTTTTATTTTATTTCATAACAATTTGAACTGACATTCTGAACTTTATCCTTTAACCTGGAAAGCTTAGGTTAATTAAAACAGACAGTTTAGTTTTTTCGGCATACTTCAGCTTCTGCGCTTTGAATGACGACATTTTTTTTGTATTATGGTTTTCTTCACTATCTGTCTAAGTAAATGAATTATTTAGCCTTCAGATAATATATGCGAAAATTGATCTTAACTAGAAGCACTCGCCTTAGACCAGTTATTTCTTTAAATTTCTCATTTCTTCCATCTTGAAGTTCCTTATTGCCTGCGAATTTGATACAGAACAGTGCTAATAACAGAAGTTAACTCTGATAGTTAGCTACTAAAAAATGAGAGTCCATTCAGGAAGCTTGATTACTGAAATTAATGCCTGACCTACTGTAGCATTTTGCGGAAATTGTAGTTTGCTTTGCTCTAAACAAAACATATCTTACGTTCATTTTGTTATCTGCCATGTTTGGTTTCTCAAAACATTCATGCAATGGATATTGGCATAACCAGGAAGCTGATAACAAATGGATGCTTATGATATATTTCAACTATGTGATTACTGAATTGCTTTTTCCTTCCACAAGTCTGCTTGCTTAATAATTTGGTTGATACCATTGTCAGCCTCTATTATGACCTGTTTCTTTAATAATGTTATCTTCCTGTATCAGAGGGTGTTTGAGACTACATTTATTGGTAGAAAGTCCATCATCAAGGAACGATTCTCCAAGAAATATAGGCATCCAATTTTGGACTCGAAACTAACTATTAAACGGCTGAATGCAGTAAGGCCATAAGGGTTTAATATAGTGCTGCTTATCTACTGATGCATGGCTTTATTCCTTACCCTCATTATAATTACTTTATTAGGAGGCCAGATGCATGACAAAAGCCAGACGACTTGGGGTCCATACTCCAGCACTTTATGCTGTAGATCCTGAACTACATTCTCTCACATTCGAGTTTGTTGAAGGTTCCTCAGTCAAAGAGATACTTCTTGACATGGGAACACAGGGCATAATTGAAGAAAGAATTAGTGATATTGCGACCCAGATTGGTGATGCAATTGCAAAGCTGCACGATGGTGGCCTCATTCATGGTGATCTGACAACATCAAACATGCTAGTTAAAAGTGATTCCAATCAGCTGGTATGTGTGGGTGCATGTTCATCATCTTTTTCCTTCAGCTCTTTTTTCATTCACTTATTCGGGCTCACTTCCAGACAAATGATCACAACATTTTGTCAAGTATGATTTATTTCTTTTGTGTCCCTTATTTTGATCCTATTTCATCTTTTTCTGTTGGAAGGTACTGATTGACTTTGGTCTAAGCTTCATCTCAACGCTTCCAGAAGATAAAGCAGTTGATCTTTACGTTCTTGAACGAGCACTGATTTCCATGCACTCTTCATGTGGAGATGTGGTAAGAATGCTCTGAATTTTCATTAATTCTTCATGTGGAAGGCTGTGTATTTGCATAGTTTTTTTTTCCCTTTCACATTTTCTTTTCTTTGTGTTTTGTTTGGTGCTGTTTTAATAGCTATACTTATTTCGTAAAGAAAACTGAGGTAGAGTCAGCCATTCAAACAACAGCAGAATTTCAGTCTCTTTTGTATTAAAAACAAGGTAATCAACTAAAGCCTAAAGGTTGTCAGTGTATACAGGGGATATGTTCTTACATTGGATGAGAGATTCAGGAATTAGTGGAGATGGAATGCCTAAACGGCTAAACCTTGCTCATTGATTTGGATCCCATCTAGATTTCTTTCTTTGGAGTTGTCCTCCTTTTTTCTAGTGTTCTTAGAATCTGCAGCAGTCCTTGTGGTCGATCCAACCTCTTCATGCACCTTCTTGGGATGGAAATTGAATCTGCATGTTACTAGCATATTCATGATCCAGCTATTTACATGCATCTGATGCTGCAATAATTCTTTTCCTGCTCTTCAAACTCCACATTGCATCTGCTAATTATATAGTCTGAGCCTGCGGTGCAATAGCTGAAGTAAGAATATATGCTTGCCAACAGCTGTCTGCAAATAACCGTATCTTTTTCATAGCATTTTTCGCAAATGTATCATAGATCCGTACATCATGCATGGTTTGTTGATTGAACTTCTCTTATGGAAGTGTTACAGAGTTAAGCATAGTTCAAACATTGATAGAGAAACCCACGGAAGTTGGAATTAATCTATTCTGGTTCTCTTATGTGTTTTACAGATGGAGCGAATTCTAGATGCATACAGGAAGTCCTCAAAGCAATGGTGCTCAACTCTGAATAAGCTAGCACAAGGTTTGAACCCTTATCATATTAGTTTTTCCTCTCTTATTAGACATCTCATCTTGTTTTTCTGCTACTTTTGCAGTGCGACAGAGGGGAAGGAAGCGATCTATGGTCGGTTAAGCTATTACTACAACGCATTACCAAACGTATGTAAAACTGCCCGAAAACTTCCACTGGAAAGTGTTTATTCTGGTAGTTCTAGCTAATTGTAGGGAACACCTTTATCTTTTGCAGACATAGTTTGACCGGAATATAGTTGTTGTATTAAAATGGTTTAAGATTTGTCTATGTTGTTTTTTCAATTATGCATAACAATTTTATACAAAAAATTAAACATAAAAATTAGGTCTATAAATCTAACGGTGACTATGAGTTCTATATATAACGTAGCAATGATTTACTGGTGATGCACGAATTTGCAAAATAACCGACTTCATCAACTCATCCTCCAGAATTAGTTCATCACAAATTACAAGGCCGCATTGCATTGTTTAAATGAGTGATAGAAGATTTTTTTTACTGAAACTGTGGTGTTAAAGTCGTTGCAATGCAAGTTTGATTTTGTAAACTTTGACTTCTATATTACTACTTCTGTCTCAAGAACATAGTCTACATTAACTTATGAAATTTATATTATCTTTAATACATATATAAAAAATTTAATGGGAATTTTATTTTAATTTTTATTTTTTTCCGGGTGAGACGAAGGTACCTCTTAGGCAAGCAAGAAAATGCAAATGCACCTCAGACAATTCGAACTAATTCTTACAGTGCATTATTTCGAAATTGGCTAACCACATCACCAACCTTCAGGCTTAGTGGTAGTTCCTAAATCATTTATCAAAATAATGGTTTGAAACAATTAGTCTCCTGAAATAAAGAGATCGGTGGAAGTGGTCAGGAAATACCCTTATCGGAAAACGAATTTCCGTTTTATGGATCTATAGTGTCAAAAACGCATACTCATTACTCGTTTATACTGTAATTAAGCGTTCTTAGTTTTTATCGGATGGTTTAACAAAAATACGGAAAACCATTTTCCGTTTTAATAAAATCAAAAAATTATTTTATTAATTTTTGGGTTATTATGTATAAAATTTTCAGTTTAAAAATCCATAAATATAAAACGAAATTCCGTTTTCCGTTTTTAACCGAAACTGGTAAAAAAAAAACAGAGAACATTTCTGTGTCTCAGCCTGTAAAGTACCAGAACAGCACCAAAAAAAGATCGAAAAACAGAATAAAACAAGAGCAAAATTCCACTTAAGCAACAACGTTCAAAAGAGAGATAACTAATATCCATAAGCGACAACGTACAAAAGAAGCAAAATATAGTCAATATCCATCTAAATGAGTTGAAAACTACGAGTCACAACCTAGGAACAAACTAATCCGTCGGCGATGTTGGTGGCGTAGACCTAGAAGGTGTATACCTTTTGGGAGGCTTTCGGGTCCGTTGCTTTTTTGTCTTTGCCAAAGGTAGACTACCTTGCTCTAAATTCACCTCAACCTCAACATCTATATTCTCAGCTTGTTCCATAGTATCTTGCTCCGTGGCAGCTTGTTCAATGGGAGAGGGAGTCTGAAACATGCTTGCATCGATGGGATCTTGTGGTGGTTTCCTTCTTCCTCCAATTCCAGCCTTAGGGACATTAGCTCTGCGATGTTTAGCAACTGGTTGGGCTCTTTTAGGTTGAGTTTGAAGGAGCACTTGGCTGGGATACAATGTAGGCATCTCTGTTGGTACAACCGAGAGAGCATTCACCGCAAAACTATTGATTGTGTTGCAAAATTCAGCACATTTCTCATTTGAACACCAGTTGGAGGCCTGATGTTGTTCGACCTCCTTGGAGATGTCAAACAAAGTATCTACCTATAATTTTTCATTAAATAAAGATATTTAACAATTAAGAAAAAGAATATAAAATAACATAGATCCATTAAAAACAAAAAGATTCAAGTTGAAAAAATTAGAATTAAGAAGAGAGTTAGGAAGGCTTACATAAATTTTGGCCCTATCTGATTGTTCAAGAAACCCTTCCACCCGTTCGTCGTACTTAGTAGGATCGGTACTCAACTTCACGGTCCTGGCTTGATACCAAGGAAGATAATCTGCAACGGCTGTAGATACATCGACCGATAATCCAACCTCAATAGATTGCAATCTGTCATCCCAAGAGGCGATATACTCACAATTCTTATCTGCCCAATTAGTGTCATGATACCCGGTCATACCATAACGGTGAGTTTTGGTCCATTCAGTTTTGTTGGCAATCATTGGAGGTTCTGGGATAGTTTGGATTTGTCCAAACTGTCGCAGGACACGATCAGGTTGATGTGGTTCTATAACATCAAAACAAATCAACCAAGTTTTTGCCTGCCAACATTTTTGACCACGTATACAAGCAGCATGAAGTGCAGGGAGGTACTTATCATAGGGCCTCCAAGTGAACTAAAACAAAAACAGAAAGGAAAAAAGAACTAGCCAAAAGTCCAGAAATCCATAAAACAGTCCAGATTTGAAAACACAAAGAAAAAGTCCAGATTGAAAAAAAAAACAGTCAAGAATTGTAAAAAACAGTCCAGATTTGAAAACAAAAAGAAAAAGTCCAGATTGAACAAAAAAACAGTCAAGAATTGTAAATAACAGTCCAGATTTGAAAACAAAAAGAAAAAGTCCAGATTGAACAAAAAAACAGTCAAGAATTGTAAATAACAGTCCAGATTTGAAACAAAAAGAAAAAGTCCAGATTGAAAAAAAAAACAGTCAAGAATTGTAAATAACAGTCCAGATTTGAAAACAAAAAGAAAAAGTCCAGATTGAACAAAAAAAAAGTCAAGAATTGTAAATAACAGTCCAGATTTGAAAACAAAAAGAAAAAGTCCAGATTGAACAAAAAAACAGTCCAGATTTGAAAACAAAAAGAAAAAGTCCAGATTGAACAAAAAAACAGTCAAGTAATAACAGTCCAGAGTTGAAATTTAAAAAAAAAAAATCCAAATTCAGGGGGAAAAAACAGACCAAAAGTGCAACCGTCCCATTAGCACTTAACGAATCCTCCATCCAACACAACAGAGGCATATAACATAGCCAAAAAAAAAAAAAAAAGAAACAGTCCAGATTCGAGGAAAAAAGTCCAGAATTTTAAAAACTTAGAAATCAGTACAACATTGTTTAAAAACCTACAACTGTCCAGATTTGAGAAATAGAATTCCAGAAAAAATAACGTAAAAAGAAGTCCAGATTTGAGGGAAAAAAGTCCAGAATTTTAAAAACTTAGAAACTTAGAAAAAAAAGGTCCAGCATTACTTTAAAAACTTAGAAAAAAAGGTCCAGAATTTTAAAAAGAAGTCCAGAATTTCAGGTAAAAGAATTCCAGCATTACTTTAAAAACTTAGAAATCAGTCCAGCATTACTTAAAAAAAAAGGTCGAGATCTTACGTGCTTAGGCGTACTCAGAGCTGAAAATTGATCTCGATAGGCAGTGATAGTATGAGCTGGCACTGCAGAGAGGTTCAAACCAACACACCACCTTGCACCGAGCGAATGATCCTTGAAAATGTCTTCATCAGTATTCCTCCTTGGTCGAATCGAAGGGATACGCTCCCAGACCCATAGCTGTAAATAAAACATAATGCCAGATATAGTCCAGAATGCAATTTAAGAAATTATATAAATGACTGAAAAAAAAAAGATAAAAGAACTTAACCTGTAAAAGACGAAGGCAACCACCTATATCCCAACTTGTCCTCTTTGATGCCTTACACAAATTATTGTAAAGACGGGCCAGACATGCACCGCCCCAACTAAGATTAGCACAACCCTTCAGATCCTTTAACAATGGCAAATAATTTAAAGAAATCGTATTGCCAGTTGAGTTGGGGAAGAGTATACCACCTAACGCCCACATTATAAACACCCGAGCCCTCTTCTCATAAACAGGTTGTTCGCCTTTCAATTCAATATCAGCTCTTGCCTTAGCTTCTAGGGAAGTTAAGTAAATGGAGTTGCCTTTGAATTTGGGCACAAAATCCAATAGTTCTTGACACAAAGCAGGCCAGTCTCTTTTCTCCGAAGTGTCCACCGTAATAGGGGGTCAATCAACATTTAAACCCAATAAAACTTCAACATCTTGGAGTGTGATGGTTGCTTCACCGAATGGGAAATGGAAGGTATGTGTTTCAGATCGCCATCTTTCGACCAGGGCACTTACAAGATGGTTGTCTAATTGTAAATGCCCATTCAACAACAATGTCCCAAACCCGGCTTCCTGAACACAACCCTTTACCTTCTCATGTGATACGGGAAACACACTCCAAATTCGACTACTATTAGTCCGACACGTATGGTGTAGGTATATAAAATCTTCCTCACCATTGAAGACCGCACCGGATCTATGGTCAGCTTGCAAGTATAGGAGCTCTGGATTGTCTGGTCCCTGGTTAGTGAAAATTTGGGTTTGGGATTGGGTTTCAGTTTGGCTTTGGGTAGAAGAACCAGCTACCATTTTACTTATCCTAATACAACCTGAAGTAAATAACCAAAAAGAGAGATGAATCATGTTAACCACCAATCAGGTATTAATCCACAGGCAAAACCCAATCAGAACAAGAGAGCAAGAGAGCAACATCAGTGAAAATTAAATTACATCAGAAAGCAAGATATAGCCCCAAATGAGTATTATATTACAGCTACTGAGGATAATTAAATTACAGCGACTGAGGATAAAACTATCCCCCCTACTGGATGCCAAAAAAGGAAAGAAAAATAACCACCAAACATTTCACACAGATGCCAACAGAGAGAACAAAACCACAAGAACACAACAACCAAAAAAGCACAGGAAAAACAGTGACAATCAACTCAAGCAGTCACGAGAAAGATATAAACACATAAATCACCATAAAACCTTTATAGATGACAATCAACTCAAGAAGTCATGACCATCTATCAGGAACATTTTCAAATAAAATCAATATAGAGATCAACAGAAGTAAGTCGGCAATCAAAACTGTCCAAAATATATATTAATGTCCAAAATACTAACAAATATGCATCTCCAAAGCACAACCAACAAACACACAAATCTGCAGCTTCTAAAGGCAGCAAACAACACATAATGGAAAAATAACTAATTTTTATAAAAACATGTAAAAATTAAAAAAAGTAATTTGTACCATGAAAAGCGGTACTTCTCTGAGGGAGTAGGCGGCGCCGAAGAAGAGCACCGGCGGTACTTCTCCAAAACGGAAGTAGATCTAACCAATTACATCTCGGTGGTACTTCTCCAAAACTCTGTAGATCTAACCAATAAAAGCCGGCAGGGGGAGTTGATTGATGGTGTAGGTGGGTGGTGGTGAAAAGAAAAGGGAAATAACTTCGGGCGGCAGAAGGAACTAG